GCCACAGTTACCACCCCCTGTCACAGTTACCACCCCTGCCACAGTTACCACCCCCTGCCACAGTTACCACCCCTGTCACAGTTACCACCCCTGTCACAGTTACCACCCCTGTCACAGTTACCACCCCTGTCACAGTTACCACCCCCTGCCACAGTTACCACCCCCTGACACAGTTACCACCCCATGCCACAGTTACCACCCCTGTCACAGTTACCACCCCCTGCCACAGTTACCACCCCTGTCACAGTTACCACCCCTGCCACAGTTACCACCCCTGTCACAGTTACCACCCCCTGTCACAGTTACCACCCCCCTGCCACAGTTACCACCCCTGCCACAGTTACCACCCCCTGCCACAGTTACCACCCCCTGCCACAGTTACCACCCCTGCCACAGTTACCACCCCTGCCACAGTTACCACCCCTGCCACAGTTACCACCCCTGCCACAGTTACCACCCCTGCCACAGTTACCACCCCCTGCCACAGTTACCACCCCCTGCCACAGTTACCACCCCTGCCACAGTTACCACCCCTGCCACAGTTACCACCCCCTGCCACAGTTACCACCCCTGCCACAGTTACCACCCCTGTCACAGTTACCACCCCTGCCACAGTTACCACCCCCTGCCACAGTTACCACCCCTGCCACAGTTACCACCCCCTGCCACAGTTACCACCCCTGCCACAGTTACCACCCCTGCCACAGTTACCACCCCTGCCACAGTTACCACCCCCTGCCACAGTTACCATCCCTGCCACAGTTACCACCCCCTGCCACAGTTACCACCCCTGCCACAGTTACCACCCCTGCCACAGTTACCACCCCTGTCACAGTTACCACCCCTGTCACAGTTACCACCCCTGTCACAGTTACCACCCCTGTCACAGTTACTACCCCTGTCACAGTTACCACCCCCTGCCACAGTTACCACCCCTGCCACAGTTACCACCCCCTGCCACAGTTACCACCCCTGTCACAGTTACCACCCCTGCCACAGTTACCACCCCTGCCACAGTTACCACCCCCTGCCACAGTTACCACCCCCTGCCACAGTTACCACCCCCTGCCACAGTTACCACCCCCTGCCACAGTTACCACCCCTGTCACTAAATTGACTGTTTTCTGGACGTTAGGAAATTTTAGGACAGCTCGTCCTCCAAAAATGAGTAGGTAAATGCAACAGCACAAGTAAGTGCAATTATGTACTGTTCATAGCAGTCAGGAATTGTACTTATTTTCACTTAGTATTAAACCGTACTGTCAAATATATTGTGAATATTTGAGTTTACCTGAAGAAATGAACAGAAAACCACGACCTAACCTAACCTTCTTAGCGTTTGAAGATAAGCATTTTATTGCTTCTTAATTACAATTAGTACTTAACCTATAGTGATATTACAGCTTTATAAAACTAATAAAACAAAACTAAAATATATATCAATAAATTGTAAAGTAACTCAGGATATTTGCAAATTTTGTATAAAATCTCTATTGTTTAATTAAACTGAAAAAGAAATTCCCGATATTTAAACTTTATGTATAGCAAATTGAACTTGAAAGCTTCATCCTAAAATTCTGTCTTAACAGAAAACGAGGAGAATAAATGGGGAGATAAATGTAACAGCCCCATAAGTGCAATTATGTACTAAGTACGACAGTAGAGAAATGTACTTATTACACTTAGTATTAAACCGTCCTGTCAATTTGGAGGACGGGCTGCACCAACAGCCTTCATCTTCACTACACATGACCAACGCATTTTATACAACCAATTCACCACTGTTTATCATTCTCTCCTTTTTAATTTTTTAATTTTTTTATTTATTTATTTATATATATATATATATATATATACAAGAAGGTACATTGGGTTTGTGAGAATACATTGGATAGTACAGTATTTACATTCTTGTAAAGCCACTAGTACGCGCAGCGTTTCGGGCAGAATTTAATTTACTGTATCGGTCCATCTAATTAGCATCATTACTGATCTATACGTAATGTATCTGATCTAATAGCATGAATGCAAATATTTACAAAAGTCTCCGAAAGAGCCGTTTGGAATGTTCAAATCCAGACGAAGAAAACTGTGCAGTCTACCCTGTCATGTGCCAAGAGAACGGGGCGCTCATGTGAGCAACCCAACAGCATGTTCCCCGTATTCAAATCAGGTTCTTTATTTCCCATCAGAATTCACAGCACGGGGCAACCTGCGCTCCTGAGAGGGAAGAACAGCCCTTCCCCAGCACTTCAAAGGCAAGAAGAGATTGAAGTCCATTGGCGGGTGGAACGTTCTGGAGCAGAATGAACCATCGGGTTCGAGGCGTCTCGGTCGACTGGCCTCTGGTGAAGGGTGCGATTTGCTTCAACGATGCTCGACTTGAAAACTGTAGCATCAAAATCCCAATATCGGTGCTTGTGTGTGTGTGGAGAGGGTGGCAAGATGGCGAGGGTGGTGGTGGTGGTGGTGGTGAGGGTGTTGGTGGGGAGGGTGGTTGAGGCGAGGGTGTTGGTGGTGAGGATTGTGGTGGTTGCGAGAGTGGTGGTGGAGGGGATGTTGGTGGGGAGGGTGGTTGTGACGATAGAGCAAGGCTCCTCGACTTCATCAAGAGTATGACTCCTGATGAATCAATGCGCTCCTAAGCTCTGTGACTAGGAGGCCCAGCAACCACATCATCAGCTGTGCGGATGATATACTGATCCATACCAATGGTTACACCAACGCTCAAAATGTTCTTAGCTCTGCAGTAAACACGTGTCAGGAACTAGGCTAAGTCATCTCAGTAGAGAAAACAAAGATCCTGAATCAATGCCCACCCAGACGGAGTGAGGCTATTCGCAAGATGCAGCTGTATGATTGCTCTCTGCAACCTGTCCTCCTAACAGAACGTCGCATTTTGACATATACTCTACCTAAGGCCAAAAATTGTCTCACTAGAAAATGGAAGGCGCTGGCCAATAATCTCGCCCCTCGGGGGCAAAATTAAATTAAAAAATTAATGGAAGCGGCTCACGAAATTTATATACTGTCCCATTTTGGGACAGTATATAAATTTTGGGTCCTCTGGTAGATCTTGCACTCGAGCGAGTATATGAATACAAAGTTGACACGTTAGTTGTAAGTGAGTCTACATTGACTGCACTCTGCTCCCCAAGGCATAACTGATGTGCTTGTATCTGTAGCTAGACACAGATATGAAATAATCAATTATGGAATGAGAGCTTGTCTCCTGTGATTCCTTCCCATATTGGTCTTCGAATGCGTGATTGAACTGATGAGTTAGCAAAAATATTTGTATGTAAAGAGGGGAAATGCTCACCATCTTGAACTGCCTCTGAGGAGTCTGAGGGCAGCAATATTCAGGGAACACCAACAAAATCTCGTAGACTTGAGGCAAAGTGACATTCACACCAGTTACTCCATCTATCATCATTCTATTATGCAGGAAGAGCCGCACATCTATGGGTCATCCTATAAGGTTAGCAGGCTTCTATATGCAGACTTCTAAACTGCTAGGCTTTAGCTCGGCTACAAGTACCTATGGGAAACCCAGCCCATCCTCTCGAACGTTCACACGTCACAAAAATGATGTACTAAATTGTCCAAAGATTGCACCATCCGCTGATATGATAGTGAGTATGACAGTGATGAGCAATACATGTGACAGCAGCCTGTCCTCCAAACAAAGATCCAAAAGTGATTCCATCCACCCGCCAAACCCCCTGTTTATGAATGAAAAGCGGTTTACACACGACTCACAACTGCTGACGTTCGAACATATCCGGAACAAGTGCTTCACTGACGAATTTTGTTCGAACCACAACGCTGTAAATGCTTCACCCACGTACTACAAATACAAATAATCGCCAACAGAACCTAAACACCTAACCTAACCTATGCCTATACATACACAATATGCCAATATATTATAATAATTTATACTTGAGAAAATTCCCGTTTTGAATGAACAACATGTTAAAATTTATGAATGCGTCTGTGGGGTCGACCGCTGGATGGAATGGACTTGAGTCGAGGACGGGTTGGTGACAGCCTATCGCTAAGTGTTCACCCCTCACAGTCCGCCACAAATTACACTTGAAGCACTACTTAAAAACATCGTTTCCTAAGAACTTTCCAAAGTTCCTACTAATTTGGCTCAGAGTCCTCACTGAAGACTTTAATTACACGTTTAAGAAGCAATTAGTAATTCAATTGTCCGAGACGACGCGCAACAATCAACTATTTACCAAATTAGGCTATTCAAAATTGTTCAAATAACATTAAATACAAAAATAACACGATAATAAGTTTGGCTGAAACATGTGTTTAATTACATTCTTGCAATTCAATTCTTTAATATTTAATATACTAATATTCTCGTGCAACAACCCGCAGGTGGGGCTGTTAAACCCATGAACATGGATATATATATATATATATATATATATATATATATATATATATATATATATATATATATATATATATATATATCTAGTCAACTAGTATTGTAAGATCTGTTCACTTGAGAATGAACCATGGAGGTTCGAAACGTCGTGCAAATTATACAAATAAGTGTAATACACTCTATAGTAAATCACTTCTTTTCTTCACCTTAAAAGTACGAAAATGAGTTTTGGAGAACTCCTATTTCAATTAAGCCCTGATGCTAAGAAAATAGTTAGAGGGATAGAAGCCCTAAAACAGAAAATAATAAATACAGAATATGCGGTCATATTCAATGAAACATATATATATATATACATATACATACATATATATATATATATATATATATATATATATATATATATATATATATATATATATATATATATATATATATATATATATATATATATATAAAGTTCAGTCAGACTTCCACGCGTATGCAGTTCATTTTAGTGTAGCCAAGTTGTGTGTTTGGGTGTGTCTGGAGGGACCTGCGAGCCAGCCGGCTCCTGACATAAGGCTTCCGTTGACAAGTTCTCGGGATAATGGTTGAAAGTGGCAGTAAACAGGTGGCTGAGGTACACAGACACGCCCAGGCATAACATCCCTTCACCTCGCAAGAACTGTTCTTGTGTGTGTTTAAACGGAACTTTCCTCACAGGAGGCTGAAGCAGTCGTCATTATTTACAAGGGTTTATGACACATAAGTCCGGAACGCAGATAAACGATAAAAATAACTGGCCAGTTGTCAGTTGGAATTTGGCAAGCACTTGTCTGAGTGTGAGTGAACACATGTATATGTTCTTGGTGAGCGTGCTTCAGCTCCTGGTCCCCGCATCCTCGTATAACTCGTACCACAAGGGCTCCGCATGCTAGGTAATGGTTCACATTTATATCTTTCTTGAAGTAAAGGTGTTGGGGATTTTCTCGAGCACTGACTTACTAACAAATTTGCACACAGACAGATTGTGTAACAACATTAAGTGCCACAGCTCCGAGCACACCCCGAGTGCCACAGCTCCGAGCACACCCCGAGTGCCACAGCTCAGAGCACACCCCGAGTGCCACAGCTCCGAGCAAACCCCGAGTGCCACAGCTCCGAGCACACCCCGAGTGCCACAGCTCCGAGCACACCCCGAGTGCCACAGCTCCGAGCACACCCCGAGTGCCACAGCTCCGAGCACACCCCGAGTGCCACAGCTCCGAGCACACCCCGAGTGCCACAGCTCCGAGCACACCCCGAGTGCCACAGCTCCGAGCACACCCCGAGTGCCACAGCTCCGAGCACACCCCGAGTGCCACAGCCCCGAGTGCCACAGCTCCTAGCTCACCCCGAGTGCCACAGCTCCGAGCACACCCCGAGTGCCACAGCTCCGAGCACACCCCGAGTGCCACAGCTCCGAGCACACCCCGAGTGCCACAGCTCCGAGCACACCCCGAGTGCCACAGCTCCGAGCACACCCCGAGTGCCACAGCTCCGAGCACACCCAGAGTGCCACAGCTCCGAGCACACCCAGAGTGCCACAGCTCCGAGCACACCCAGAGTGCCACAGCTCCGAGCACACCCAGAGTGCCACAGCTCCGAGCACACACAGAGTGCCACAGCTCCGAGCACACACAGAGTGCCACAGCTCCGAGCACACCCCGAGTGCCACAACCTCTACTGCGTTGATACCTGTGTTAGCAAACTATATGCAACTCTCAGCCATCCCTACCTGAATTGGTCATTCGAAATGTCCTAGGTTCGAATCCTGTTGGAGGACAAAGACGTTTTGAGAACTTATAATTTCACCTAATGCCTCTGTTCACCTAGCTATAACTAGGTAGTTAGTCTACTGTTGTGGGTTGTATCTTGGGAAAGGTCAGTGATTGGCCAAAGTGGACTTGAGGAAGCCTCGCATGCTTCGTCTCTCGGACAATTCAATTTCTTTCTTTATTATGCACCCCATACCCATCCCGTGGGCGGTGGTGTAGAGGATAACAGCGGCACATAATCGCTTCAGGAACTGAACCCTCTGGTTCGTTTAGCTAAGCAAATAATTTCTTGACGCTAGTCCGCAAGGAGAGAATATTCTCTTTCGTTCCTTCCTGGGCTGAGGGAAAATGTGTTTTTCTGTAAACATGGTTGTATGGCAGGCACTGTACTGTTTTTAAATGTTAAATTTTGTCCCTACTCTCCCCTATAGGTCCTACTCTAGCTGGTGGGAGAAAATCCTGCCCTTTTTTCTGACTGGGTCTGGCTCCTTATCTATGGTATCCTGAACAATAGAGGTTGCTCAAGTGAATTATATTTGATATCGAAGCCCATACAAATAGAAAACGTAAATGAACTTAATAATCTGGGTGAAATCTGTCCGAAACGCAGCGCGTACTAGTGGCTTTACAAGATTGTAGTTACTATACTATGTATCCTCACAATCCCAATGTACCTTCTTGTATATATATAAATAAATAAATAAATAAATAAATAAATAAATAAATAAATAAATATCCATGCGACTTTCACGCATCAGCACCTCGACGATTGTCTGGGACGCCATTTAGTGCATTTATATTTACTAAAGAAATGCGTTGAATGTTCGAGCTACTTTTAAGAAAGTGAAAATGAGCGGGAATTAGGTGCAAGAAGCTAGGGCCAGATTCACGAAGCAGTTACGCAAGTACTTACGAACGTGAACATCTTTCCTCAATCTTTGGCGGCTTTGTTTACAATTATTAAACAGTTAATGAGCTCCGAAGCACCAGGAGGCTGTTTATAACAATAACAACAGTTGATTGGCAAGTTTTCATGCTTCTAAAGTGTATAATAATTGTAACCAAAGCCGTCAAAGATTGAGGAAAGATGTTCACGTTCGTAAGTACTTGCGTAACTGCTTTGTGAATCTGGCTCTAGGAAGATAAGCAGTCTTGGTAACACTTCAATCCATCCTCAGGATATATTCATTCCATCCAGCAGTCGACCCCAAAGACGCATTCATCAAATTTTAACATGCTGTTTGTTCAAAATAGGAATTTTCTCAAATATAAATTAATATTGTTATATATATTAGCATATCGTGCATATTTCTACATAGATTAGGGTAGGTTATTTAGGCATTAGGCTAGGTACCGTGTAGACTGTCTAGGTTCTCCAACCCGTCCTCACGCTAGGCTGTTTAAAGCAGCGGCCGTCCTCCCTAGATGCATTCATCAATTTTAACATACGGCGCATTAAACTTTGCTTTCTTCTCATATATAAACTAATATTATTATATATAAAAAAAATCTATGTAACCGAAATCAAATCTATGTGGGTTCTATTCTTAGAACCAAACCACAATCATCTCGGCTATACCACAACACTCACAACAATCCTAGTAGACCACAACACTCACAACAGTCCTAGTATACCACAACCATACAGCTTCACTACAACTTTACAGCTTCACCACAACCCTCCAGCTTCACCACAACCCTCCAGCTTCGCCACAACCCTCCAGCTTCACCACAACCCTCCAGCTTCACCACAACCATACAGCTTCACCACAACCTTCCAGCTTCACCACAACCATCCAGCTTCGCCACAACCACCCAGCTTCACCACAACCACCCAGCTTCACCACAACCCTCTAACTTCACCATAACCCTCCAACTTCACCATAACCCTCCAACTTCACCATAACCCTCCAACTTCACCATAACCCTCCAACTTCACCATAACCCTCCAACTTCACCATAACCCTCCAACTTCACCACAACCATACAGCTTCACCACAACCATACAGCTTCACCGCAACTATACAGCTTCACCACAACTATACAGATTCACCACAACCATACAGCTTCACCACAACTATACAGCTTCACCACAACCATACAGCTTCACCGCAACCATACAGCTTCACCGCAACCACACAGCTTCACCGCAACCACACAGCTTAACCACAACCATACAGCTTCACCGCAACCATACAGCTTCACCGCAACCATACAGCTTCACCACAACCCTCCAGCTTCATCGCAACCATACAGCTTCACCGCAACCATACAGCTTCACCATAACCCTTCAGCTTCACCATAACCCTTCAGCTTCACCACAACTATACAGCTTCACAACTATACAGCTTCACCACAACCATCCAGCTTCACCACAACCATCCAGCTTCACCACAACCATCCGGCTTCACCACAACCATTCGGCTTCACAACCATCCAACTTCACCACAACCCTCCAGCTTCACCGCAACCATACAGCTTCGCCGCAACCATACAGCTTCACCACAACCATACAGCTTCACCACAACCATACAGCTTCACCATAACCCTTCAGCTTCACCATAACCCTTCAGCTTCACCACAACCCTCCAGCTTCACCACAACCCTCCAAGCTTCACCACAACCATCCAGCTTCACCACAACCCTCCAGCTTCACCACAACCCTCCAAGCTTCACCACAACCCTCCAGCTTCACCACAACCCTCCAAGCTTCACCACAACCATCCAGCTTCACCACAACCCTCCAAGCTTCACCACAACCCTCCAGCTAAGCCTTACCTCTGAACTACACTTCCATTTCCTAAGAGGTTCAGGAAGTTCTTGGCATTTCCATTTTCAAGCAACAGTCGCAAGATTGTCTCTTGGGTGTTGATGGCGAGGTCAATAATGGCTCGTCTTGCTCGTCACATAGTCACATAACAGTCCCCATACAACATATATATTTATTCCTTTTTTAAAAGACCTTTCTTCTAACAAAACCGGTAAACAGGAATGAGGTAGTTGTTGATCGTGCCGTGGCCCTGGGTAAACTAGTCCTCGTAGCGCTGGAGGCGAGGTTAACCACTGAAATATTCACCTGACGTCACGGCCTACGTCACTTCCGCTCCAAGATGGCGGCCGGCTGGTTCAACTCCTCTTCTGACATTTATAAAGCCATGGCGATCAGGGGGGGGGGGGGGAGGGGGTTGTCGAGCGGTCACAAGTCCATAAGGGTCATTAGCTGTGACAGAGGCAGAGGCTCACCTAGACCATAATGATTGCCAGCGAGTAGTTTTGTCTTGCGCCCGAACGCTGGGATTTAGAGAGCGCGTGACATTTGGTCTGGACAGGTTTCAAGTGAATATTTTAGAGTGGAAGCTGCGTAGCTGGGGCGCCGGACGATGCTCGCTCTCCACTCCAGCGTCCCTCTCGCCCTGCTGCTGCTGCTGCTGCTGTAGCTGCTGCTGCTGTAGCTGCTGCTGCTGTTGCTGTAGCTGCTGCTGCTGTAGCTGCTGCTGCTGCTGCTGCTGTAGCTGCTGCTGCTGCTGCTGTAGCTGCTGCTGCTGCTGTAGCTGCTGTAGCTGCTGCTGCTGTAGCTGCTGCTGCTGTTGTAGCTGTTGCTGCTGCTCCTGCTGCTGCTGTTGTAGCTACTGCTCCTGCTGCTGCTATTGTAGCTGCTGCTCCTGCTGCTGTTGCTGCTGCTCCTGCTGCTGCTGCTGTAGCTACTGCTGCTGCTATTGTAGCTGCTGCTCCTGCTGCTGTAGCTACTGCTCCTGCTGCTGCTATTGTAGCTGCTGCCACTGTTGCAGATGGTGGAGTCCTTAGGGTTTGGGACTTGTTGTAAGCATGACTTAACAAGTTTAAGTCGAGAGAAGGGATAAAGGTAAATCTGATAGTTTGAGGACGACTGCAGTGACGATGGTTAGCTGACAGTAAAGGTAGTTACGGCTAGGACGTGGCCAGTGGTCGTCGTAGGCAGGTGTAAAGGAAAATAGAGGGGTAATACAGCATAAAGTCTTAATGTAGAGATGGAAGGGAAGACTGAGAGAGAGGGAGAGAGAGACAGACAGACAGACAGAGAGAGAGAGAGAGAGAGAGAGAGAGAGAGAGAGAGAGAGAGAGAGAGAGAGAGAGAGAGAGAGAGAGAGAGAGAGAGAGAGAGAGAGAGAGAGAGAGAGAGAGAGAGACAGAGAGACAGAGAGACAGAGAGAGAGAGAGAGAGAGAGAGAGAGAGAGAGAGAGAGAGAGAGAGAGAGAGAGACAGAGAGACAGAGAGACAGAGAGAGACAGAGAGAGAGAGAGAGAGAGAGAGAGAGAGAGAGAGAGAGAGAGAGAGAGAGAGAGAGAGAGAGAGAGAGAGAGACAGACAGACAGACAGAGAGAGAGAGACAGAGAGAGACAGAGAGAGACAGAGAGAGAGAGACAGAGAGAGAGAAAGGAACAAGAGGCGGAAGAAGAAAGTAGGAGTAAGACTTATCTCTGTTCCCTCCTCCACGCCTATACCATCAATAATATTTAACATTTTCGGCAATCTTTTCATTCTTGTCATAATTTTTTTATTAAGAATAGTTCAAAATTAAATTAGATTTAATTCCCATCAGAGTGTTATCTTATCTTGAGCTTCCTAATAGCGACAAATGTTAAATACAAGATCCACGAAAATATATATATAAACGTGTTATAATATTCTTATATATAATGTGATATAATATTCTTATATATAATGTGATATAATATTCGTATATAACGTAAATTATCAACAGGTTATCATCAGTAAACTAATTTTGCGCTCAGAGAATTATCTTGAATTCTCCATCTTGAATTCTCCAGACTAGGCTATTAATAAATTTTATCCTCATACTTATATGGATTACTTGCAAGGTAAAGACTAGGAGCCTCGCTGGCCATGATTTAACTTCTGATCTTCACATATGTTGATGTGGGGGGCTTCTGGGCAGCAGGTGTGTAAGAGCAGCAGGTGTAGCACACCTGCTGTCGTTCTCCCCAACAGTGAATAGCCTGATGGGGTCTAGAGTATAGACCTGATATGGCCTGATAGCCTAGCCTATCAGAATAGCCTAATGTGGTCTAGAGTATAGACCTGATGTGGTCTAGAGTATAGACCTGATGTGGTCTAGAGTATAGACCTGATGTGGTCTAGAGTATAGACCTGATGTGGCCTGATAGCCTAGCCTATCAGAATAGCCTGATGTGGTCTAGAGTATAGACCTGATGTGGCCTGATAGCCTAGCCTATCAGAATAGCCTGATGTGGTCTAGAATATCCTAGAGTATTCACAATGCTGTGGTGTGATTTCCATGATTTAATTCGTCACATCTCTTTTGATTAGTACTCGGTCAGAATTTCACTTGAGTCATTTTAATTTATATTCTGTATGGAGAATTACATCGGGGGAAGAGAGCTGAGAAGTCTAAACTCTCAAGTCTTAAATTAAGAGTTGAGAGTTGTTAAAGTCTTGGTTTTGTTCAATTGGAAGAAAAATGACAGGTTGGATAACAAGAACCTTTCAAACAAGAGATGCTACACCAATGATGATACTTTTTAAGACACTAGTTCTCTCTATAGACATTCTAATTTGCTACACACTAACAGCCGCATTCAATGCTGGAGAAATTGCTGAGCTAGAGAACGTGCAAAAGTCTTTTTACCGCCAATTGCATTCAATATAACTGCAAACATAAATTATATTTGTATTCTCTAGGGCGCAGGCGAAGGAAATACATATTAATTTACGTGGAAAATATTAGAGGGGGGCTGGTCCCAAACCTACACGCAGAAATAACACCACACGAGACCAGAAGGCATGGCAGGATGTGCAGAATACCCCCGTTGAAGAACAGAGGTGCAACAGGTACTCTGAGAGAGAACTCTATCAACATCAAGGGGCCCGAGACTGTTCAACAGATGATTTAATATGATGACTTTTCAATAAAGATTTAGAGCAATAACTGAACCATCATCATGTATAATGATTTAGAGTGTATTAACTGTAGCTTCTTCACGTGTAATAACTTAAGAATGCAACAACCGAACAAAAGCACTGTTAAATTAACCTTAAACTTTTACACTAATTAATCACGAGTGATAATTGAACCCTTAAGTTCCAATAATAAATACACGCATTCGTTCATTATTCCTTGTGTTACGCTCGGTTAAAAAAGGACAATTAGTCATTATGACGAATGGTATTCACGGTGCTCTAATCCGAAGGGAGATTAGAATCTGAAAAATGAACGCGGCCACCTTCAATGTTTTCAAAACAATACAAGCGCAAGTTTATGGAAATTTCCCCCTTAGGTACACGCGTCTTTTAGCTCATTTTAGAGTATATAAGGGTATATTCCACGTCCAGAGTATATTGTTAGAGATAGTCCACATGAACGGTATATATACTGAGATATTCCCAATCAAGAGCATATTTAGAGAGGTAATTCCCCATCAAAAGTATATCATGTGAACTAGTCCTAATCAAGAGTATATATATATATATATATATATATATATATATATATATATATATATATATATATATATATATATATATATATATATATATATATATATATATATGACTGTCATTCTATGAAGGGAGGATTGAAACAGGAATTTCCTTAAGTACTTTCGTATTTAATAATACAGCTTCAGAAGGATATGTATATTTCTTGTATTATTAAATACGAAAGTAAATCCTCGTAACTCATGCCTATTAGGTCTGGGACTAGCCTAGTGGCATACCTCTGAACTTTTTCCAGCTTCGTCGTGTGCTTGACAAGGTACGGGCTCCATGCTGGGGCCGCATACTCCACGATTGGTCTTACGTATGTGGTATACAAGGTTCTGAAGGATTCCTTACACAGGTTTCTGAAGGCAGTTCTCATGTTAGCTAGCCTTGCATACGCCGCCGATGTTATTCTTTTTATGTGGGCTTCAGGAGACAGGTTTAGCATGATATTTCCTCTCTGTCCGTTTCGTGAAGGACTTCATCTCCCATTCAGTATCCTGTGTCTGGCCTCCTGTTTCCTCCGTCTTGTTTCATTGCCTTACATTTATTCGAGTTGAACTTTAGTAGCCATTTGTTAGAACATTCATTCAGTCTGTCTAGGTCAACTTGTAGCCTCATCCTATCTTCCTCTGTCTTAATCCTCCTCATAATTTTTGCATCATCAGCAAACAAGGAGAGGAACGATTCTATATCCTCTGGAACATCTTTACATACATCAGAAACAGTATAGGTCCAAGGACTGAACCCTGCGGGATTCCACTGGTGACGCCTCGCCAATCTGAGACCTCATCCCTAACAGTGACTCGCTGTCTTCTGTTGCTTAGGTACTCCCTTATCCAATGGAGTACCTTCCCTTTCACTCCTGCCTGCTTCTCCAGCTTTTACACTAGTCTCTTGTGTGTTTACTAGTTGTGTTTGCGGGGGTTGAGCTTTGCTCTTTCGGCCCGCCTCTCAACTGTCAATCAACTGTTTACTAACTACTACTTTTTTCCACACCACACACACACACACCCCAGGAAGCAGCCCGTGACAGCTGACTAACTCCCAGGTACCTGTTTACTGCTAGGTAACAGGGGCATTCAGGGTGAAAGAAACTTTGCCCATTTGTTTCTGCCTCGTGCGGGAATCGAACCCGCGCCACAGAATTACGAGTCCTGCGCGCTATCCACCAGGCTACGAGGCCCCTGTGGTACTGCGTCAAAGGCTTCCTGACAATCCAAAAATATGCAGTCTTCCCAACCCCTTTCTTCCTTGCCTGATATTTGTTGCCTGGTCGTAGAATTCAATTAATCCTGTGAGGCATGACTTGCCATCCCTGAACCCATGCTGATATGTTACAAAGTTATTTTGCTCCAGATGTTCCACGAGTTTTTTTTCACATTCTTCTCCATCAGCTTGCATGGTATGTAAGTTAGGGACACTGGCCTGTAGTTCAGTGCCTCCTGTCTATCCCCTTCTTGTATATCGGGATTACATTAGCCGTCTTCGAAATTTTTGGCAGTTCACCTGTTACCAGTGATCTGTTATACACTATGGAG